ACGTGTACGATAAACTTTTGTCGGTGTTTAACGCGATTGGAAATTTCAGATGACGAAGATGTACAGTATACAGTATGACATCGGAACATTTGATTCACCAAAAGTCGGAAAGCCTTTTTTTTTTTTTTGTTCGATAGAAGAGGAATTTATCATCTCGGGAAAAACAAAAGTATATGCTGTATATATACAGTATATATAATGCATGTACTGTATATGTACGTATATATAAGATTCTCCCGAAAAACAATCGATTCAAAGCCGTAGGAAGTCATGCCCGGTCGTCCACTTCCAACCAGTTTCTTGGCATCTGACGTATGGTCGTTTCTGCTCATCGAACCCGCCTTCCATTATGACCTCTTCCTCTTCGATGTATTCTTCGCATTCATCTTCGGCTTCTCCGTTTGCGGGAGCGTCAACCGTTTGTTGGGTGAAAGAAAGGCGCTCAAACAAGGCTGACAAAAAATCCATAACTTTTTTTTTTTCCGTTTGAATGGAGGTGAAAAATGTCCGAATTACATGATATGATTTTGGGATCTGTGTTTAAGGTGATTGAAAGGTGGCTTTTTTTGCCAAATGCGGGCTTGAATATACTGTAATATCCACTGGTCGGTCATTTCGTTCACACATTCGCAGTCCGAAATTTTTCCCGCCACAAACGATCAATCGTGTTGATGTTCTCAACAGGTTGTGGCTTGTTCGCTTTAATGGTGTGTGCGTATTAATCGCTCTTTATACTGTGACGCCGTATAATGATAAATGTCAAACATTTCGAAATCGCTTCGCGTGACAAAATAATGCGCTTCTTGTCAGGACGTTTGTTCGCCTGCGCAGCAATACCTTTTTTTTTGCGATCATCGTGTTCTGTGTAGAAGAGTCCATTTAATTTACAAAAGGTATGCGAATGATTATTCGATTTCCTGCGTTAACATTTGTTTCAAGTTTACGCCCGATTCCCTTAAACAGTCCCCTGATATTTTTAAAGTTGGGTTCAACGTAACACGTGCGACTCTTTTTTCTAATCAGCCATGGGCTTGTTCTCCACAGTTTGCTGATGCCTTTAACACATTAATAGAGAACAATCCGCATGCCGTAGGTTAAGTGTGACTATGGATAATCGGAGTCAACAAAGTCAGGTCGAGCAGACAAAGGACACCGATCCAAGGAACCGTGTTCAACAGATAACCCGAAAGCTTGGAAAAACGTACAGGGAGGATCGGCACTTTGTAAAGAACGATGGGTGTCACATACCACGACATCCCAAACAAATATTTGTTGCGGACGTGATTTATAGTTTTTTTCTTTCTACATAACAGTAGTTGAGGCTTTGGCATGTTTACGCGTTCACCTCTTGTCACCTGTTATATCTCCGAAATCAATGCAGATTGTTGATGGTTTATCAGGGAAATCGAGGTCCAGTATAAGAGGAATCTCAAATGTG